GTTTCGGTGTGTGCAAAAGCTTCCAGGCATGCACATTCCTTGCCCCGCGCGTAAGTTACCTGTCCTTCCAAAACCAAACAAGCAGTCAAGGACAAAAAGTTATACACCAAATGGGCATTATAGGTGCAATGTACTACTGGGACGAGCCTTGTAGTTGTAGTGTATTGTTGCATTGTCAATTGTGTCACCCCGGCGAACGCCGCGTACTTCCTGTTCAAATTAAAACACTCAAAACAGAGAAACAGGTAATCAGTAAACAAGCGCGCCTGCGGCTACAGTGGCAAAAAATACATGATTTATGGTTAGGTTGGAGGACTTCGCCGCTTCGACGCGCCGCGCAAACTAGCATTCTTGCTTCGCAGAGCAACGATCTCGACGGATTGACATCGTCAATCAAATGGTTAGGTAAACGTCAGAGCCATTTAGAGAACGTGTTAAACTTAGTATGTAGTACCCACGTGATCGTCCAGTGTAGCTGGTAGTAGCGCATGTAATTAGTGATGATCCAGATCATAATTAATATCATCATCAACCTACCACCTACACAGCTAGTACACTGTCACTATAATACTAAACATGTTATACTTTGAATGACGTTATCAGTTACATGTTCTATGTTTTGAAACCTAATATGCTCTCCAGCTTCAGCATTCAGATAATTTTATAACAATGCAGCTACAAGGTCAACGGTACTCGTTCAATAGTACACACGGCTGATTTAAAATTGGTGGTCAGGATTGAGAACTACTGTAATACTTATAATTATACTTATATTTATACTTATAGCATGTAGAGCTTGCATACTGATATGGCAATTGCAGAATTATCAAAACTTTGTATCACGTCGTGACCCCCTTTTTCATTTCACTTAGTGTTTCGGGCGGAAAGGGCACTTGCGTGCGGCGAGTTTACAACGTGTGACAATCAAAACTATAGAAAACGGTATCACTTTATAAAAATCTTAACCGCTAATTTTTAAATTGTTGTGTTCTCAGTTCTTAACATTTCATTTTCAAGTTGTTTGTAGGTTTATATAATAATAACCTACCAGACGCACGCCGAGTTGGAGTTGGACTCGTCCGTCGACGGTCTAATATTTGGAACAAATATTTTACGAGTATCATCCGTTTACTGGGCGGCGCTCAGCCTGTCATTCCGCCAAATCTTTATTATGTTTATGAACATAATAGCCTGGGGTCCCCAGGTAAATCATCCGTTAACAAGTTAATGTGAACTGAATTTGAACTGAGTTGTACAGTTTACTATAGTTTGAATTACATTTACATTATATTGTTCTATTTTGTCGAATATTACCTATTAGTTAGTAATAATTGCAACTGACGTTTCTTTTGATACGACGTACGTTTCTTCATTTTTCGATTTCTGTTTCAACCAACTTTTCAACCGACTTTCAAAGTCGATAAAATTTAAAAAAGACAAGAAACGCGGGAAAAGGTAAAACTAAATTGTCGTTTGGCTATATAATAACATTGGTGATATTTAATTAAAACGATTACTGATCTGCAGACAATTACAAATTATTTCGTGCCCAATATTGCAGTATGTTCACCGCAGAGGCGGCTATTGAGGGCGTCCAGGCGTCCGTGGACGCCTTAAAATTATTATCTGGTGACTGGTGAGTGGTGCTTAAAATAGAAATAGTAATTAGTAATAACTAATAGTGTTAGGAAATAACAAATCGCAATATAAAGGTCTTCATTTACTATCATACGTTTTAATGTAAGCGCACGCTGGCACGCATGATCTTCGTGAAATTTTGTGTTGTAGGGAGTCCAATCCTACCTCCGGACTACTCAGCCGCGCAGTTTTAACACATAGTTAATTGTAAACGTTACAAAGCACATCGTGCGCATCCCACTACAGGTAATCTATTATGATTTGCCTCGATTTGGGGGTCCAGGACCCTTTGCAATTTGACTGCTATATGATACTGCGCGGCTGAGATCGTACACGTGTGGTGTCCTGTTTCACCCATGTTATAAGTTTTTGTTTTTTGTTTGCTGTCGCCTGTAAAGTGTTACACATTACATTTACAAGGCCCTGTGTGTAATGTAATCGGTAGTTTGGAGGGATCAGCTTGAGCCGGCTCCCAAGCCCCCCCCCCCCCCCCCCCCCCAGTCCATCGATTGGACCCCCAACAAAACTGCCAGCCAGCTCCCACGAGCCGCCTCTGGTTCACCGCCATTCATATATCACTAAACACATTCAGGCGGACTGCACAGCTCAAAAATGTGATTTATAATTATTAACTGAGTGATAACATAAACAAGCTACTGATAAAACTTAGATTACAATCTTAACCTTGCAACAGCTAGAATAATTTACTTGTTATCTTTCAAAATGTGGTATTGTTCTTATCGCTAAATTCTTTTAGTTTTAGCGCTATTAAATCGTTGCTTTTACATCTCACTATATTTTTTTGTACTGCATGGCATCGTGGCTATGATGTATGAGAGCAATTTCGCTGGTTATAATTTTCGTACTTTAAAAAAATTCGTCGTTGTTAATCAGAAAATGTCAAATATGTATTATTTGACGAATAAGCCGTTCAAACTGCTAAAACTTTTGAATTCATATTCCCCAACACTGATATAAATATAATAATTAATGGTGTCGTTTAAGACTACGAATGAGTTTTGTCAATTTTATTCACGATTAAACTAAAGCTGTGAATATACTATTACTATTTTTCCCTGCAAATTATATCATGTTAAAGCTCCAAGCCAACCATTTGAATTGCTGCGCCATCACTCAGTTTCGAAATTTTGGCCCATCTGACCATTGTCGATTGCCGAATGCTGATCGACAAGCGGCTTGAAATCGAACGTGTCAAGCCAAAAGTTGTTTCTTAGGGAATGTAAAACACTAATCGCTTTTGTGTTACTGTTATCATAACCGACAACAGATATCACCGATAAGGCCTATTTTAAGGACTATAATTAAAATATTTTTGTTCGGATCACGTTCACAAAAAATATTTTTTCCAGGAAATGGCATCGAACGTACCTTCTTGGCTACTTCTCCTGACTGCCATGTCCCTTATCAGTATTACAATCGGCGATCAGACCCAGTACAGTTACTTTGATCAAAGTAGCTGGCCAGAGCTTTGTCAGTCAGGTGAACAGCAGTCTCCAATAGACATTGACCTGATTGAGGATACAGTTCTCCACAGTAGCTCCCTTCCTGACCTGGGAGAGGTACAGCTAACTTACACTAACAGCAGCTCTATTAAATACGGAGTAAAAGATGGCCCCTTGGTCGTCATGCCTGAAGACTGGCCGGTGGGTCACACAGATGGTCTCCAGCTGCTTCAGATTCATTTTCACTGGGGAAGCAACAGCAGCAACGGGGCTGAACACAATCTCTACGGCAAACAGTTCCAGGGTGAGATGCACCTTGTTACCCGAAACTTGGACCAGCTCGACCCCTTATCAGACGATTTTTACGCTGTATTCGGAGTTTTCCTTGAGGAGGATTCGAGCCAGGTCGGTTCAGAGCAAAACGAGGTCATTAAAAATCTGGTGAGCGGAGGTGTCATCAACAACGAAGTGACAGTGCCCCTCTCACAACTCTTCTCCATGGAGACTACAAGTGTTTACACTTACGAGGGAAGTCTAACAACACCAGGATGTGCAGAGCACGTCTTCTGGATGGTATTTGAGGAACCCATTAAACTGACACCAGGAGTTATGGGCACAATGAGGCAACATCATAATGTTAACCGAACATTCAGGAACCCCCAACCTCTCAACGGTCGGCCAATCACCCACCGAGTTTTGGGAGAACAGCTCACTAGCGCTCCTCTGGACAACTTGGAGTTGGCAGAAGGTGAAGAACCAGTAGTGGAAGAAGAACCAGTAGTGGGGGAAGAACCGGCAGATTCCAACGAGGGTGGCGAAGAAGTTGAAAAGAAGAATGAAGAGGTGAACGAAGAGGAAAGTGAACCTAACTCAAGCAACATTGTCTCTGTTGAGATGGTTTTTCTGGTTCTGTCAATTTGTAAATTGCTCTTTCTTTAAGCAGGAAAGTATTAAATTGTAAATGTAGCTCTGTGAGACGATCGAAGAATGGGATTTTGTAATTTGGTATGTTTTTGTTCATAAACATTTTTAAACTTTATGAATATGAGTGGGAATCAAATTTTTCAGTATTTTATGGTTTTATTGTAAGTTGTACGAGCGTAAGAGCTTAAATTAAAGTAAAAAGATGTTTAATATGACTGACTTTTCTTTATCAATTTTAGTCAACTGAACTGATAAGCAATAAAAACCATTACAAAAATGCTATCCTTTAATTATGAACTTAGAAAGCAGTGACATGGTTCATCAAACTAAACTGGCGTCACACAAGGCAAACATTCTATAAATAAATCTATGCACGATTCTTTCGTTTGACAGAAAAGTCCAAACCCTGGAAACATGACATAAAAGATTCGTTTTCACTTGTTTGCATGAAAAGCATTAATACAAAATCAGCAGTTCCACAAATAGAATGTGTAAACTTACTTTGAAAATGTTCGGTTGCAAAATGATTTGTAAGATATATCGCCAGCAGAGTTTTTAAAGGTTTGGAAGTGAGCTTAAGGTCATGTACATTGTACATTGTACGTGCTATTAACATCAAATTCAATTAGAAAGAAAAGGGCAACAAAGTGAAACAATAGCATTATCGTCTGTAACAATTACATAGGAAGTTGTTATTTTAAAATTACAAATACAATTCATGTCAAATCGGTAAAACTTAAATTATGAACCAGCTCATTCAGTCGTTCGCTGAAATTCTGTTTAAGTTTTCAAAAACAGTACAAATTAAACAAATTTACAATACAACCGTTTTTAAAAGTTAGAACCAGATTCAGTAACGTTTGAGAAAGTGATTTTAAGAAAAAACATCAGACAGACCTGATGCGCATTGTCATGTGACTTTATAAAATTCTATGCAATTGATTAGACACATGATGTGTCTGATCAATTGCATAGAATTTTATAAAGTCATGTTGAGTACCTAGATTTGTAAAATATGATTTATTTTGGTTAAGATCTGACTGAATCCGATTAACAGTTCCAAAATGAAAACATAATTAACCAGCATTTCAAAAAACCAGCTTGGTTCAAAAGTAGAAATTCAATAAAATCTGCTATACCAACGAACGTTGATTTTCAATTGTTGATTGCGAACTAATGTTTCAGTTTATCAGTGGAGGACAGGTAAATTGCCAGGGGTATAAGAGTCATCCCGATCCTTTGCAGGGAACACTGAACATGAATATAAAAGAACATCAGATAAAAGCTCATCGAGGTGAAAGTAATATAGTTTAGTAAAAAAAGTAAAAGGAGATGATGATGTTGACGCCATTGATCATGGTCGTTGATGATTGTCGTACAAAAATACAAATTCTGACACCGCACCAAAAGGCTCTGAGTCTATCAGCGACCTCTCTCTCTCTCTTGTGAAATTATACCAAATACCTAGTTCAGCTAGGCTATAAACAACATCGCTCTGAATCTTCATGAGGCCGACCGGCAACGCTTAGGAATCTTCTGCAGGACTGAAACTGAGTTGTTTGATTTAAAGGACTGAGAATGAGCAGGTTTCTTGTTTGAGCCTGGCAGGCCGGTGGGAGTGTCAGGGTTCTCGTTAAAACTACTGTTACCCGAGTTAAGGCTGATACTGTCGCCGTTATTTATGTGCATACTGTCTACTCGAGGGCGCCGGTTTATGGGGGTCGCTGGGTTACTCGTGCGGAAATCTTCAGACGTTTTCCGGAGTTTCTCGATCCATTGTCGCTTGTTGTCGGCAGAAACGGCGTTAAAAGTATAAAGTCCAGTGCAACATTTTAATCGGTTATAAGTAGTTACTGCGAAACAGTGCCTACATCCACCTGGAAATTGTAGAAAGTTTAAATCACAATTCATACCTTCATTAACATTAACAACTTTTGGTATGTAACGAATTTTCACTTGTATTTAAACAAAATTTGAATCATTCAGATAGCTAAAATCAACGAAAGCTGATTAATCGGTTCAACAGAAAATAAAATGTGCACACGTGACATACCGGGAGAAGTGGTGATATCGTGAACTCTGGTCTCGTCCAGTGCTATAGGTTGTTTATACACGATATACCTCTGGTCGGGATCGTACAATCCTCCGCTCGTGTCGAATGCGTCAGATGAACTTGATGGTGATACCAGCTGTTCTAATTTGCTGTTATACCGCTGAGAGAAGTTAAGGGTTAAGGTTAGGGTTAGGGTTAGGGTTAGGGTTAGGGTTAGGGTTAGGGTTAGGGTTAGGGTTAGGGTTAAGGTTAGGTTTAAGGTTAAGGTTAGGTTTAGGTTTAGGGTTAAGGTTAAGGTTAGGTTCAACTTTAGGTTTAAGGTTAAGGTTAGGGTTAGGGTTAAGGTTAGGTTTAGGGTTAAGGTTAGGTTTAGGGTTAAGGTTAGGTTTAGGGTTAGGGTTAGGGTTAGGTTTAGGGTTAAGTTTAGGATTAATGTTAGTTTTCTGGTGTACTGCTCAGAGAGGGTTACTAGAGGGTTTCAGGGTTGCGTTACGACGAGGAGGCTGATGAGTAAAATTAATCTGCGTAATCGTAGGGTCTTAATCGATTTTCATTGTTAGTAATTGAATAAGAAGCACCGAAAAGGACCCTTAGAATATTCATGAAATAGTCCCTTGTTAAGTTAATGTCATGGTTAATTGTCGTTAAGATGGAAGATTTAATTAAAATTGAGGTAAAGTAGGTCACTAACTTTTCGCATAGTTGAATTAGTTCTGGCTATGAGTAGCATATCGTTAAACAGAAAGCAATACGTCTCAGAAGATTTCGGGTTCTCTGAAAATAATAACGTAAATAAGATTGAACGTAGATGATACAGAAAACTTCCCATGAAAACTTAATAATTGAAGAATTTCTCATGATTTGCTACTGAGACAAGGCTGCAACTGACCGAGTAACAGTAAAGCACCAGCGTGTAGGATATGTCTCCCATCTGAACAGAGTGTCGACTGATCCTCTGATATTATCTCCTTTAGTTCCTCAGGTATAACTATCGATTTGTCGATAGTATCAATTTTAGGCCAAATAAGGATGTTGTCCAATTCCTGAAGTCTCTGGAAGTTTTGAAGCGTTGCCAGCTTCGACTCCAACGAGCCTGAGCGAGGTTTGTGTTATTGTTCATTAACGAGATTAATTTTAATGTTAACCTGAAGAAAATATTCAGCGACACCGTAATTTAATAAAAACTGAAAGAGTAGTTGAAAACGATCATTACAGGCGCCAATAACATTAATACGTAAAATCTGAAGAATTGGAGATCTCTTACGTAAGGATTCCTGAATAGCTTCAATAGTTTCACGCAAATCGTCCCGGCCATCTTCAGGCACATGTTTCTGTATATCCTGCGAATTAATTATCTAATTATTATTACATTGTATATTTATGATTGAATGATACCTACCTTCATATGAGCCCAAAAATTAAAGCCAATGAATGTGCAGATCCAAATACTTAACGGAACCACGCAACTCGTCAGTAGCTGAATTAATTTAAAATAGACTTAAAGAATCAGACACAGAAACTTCTAGATTAAAAGAAAGAGACTAAACTAATTAAGCAGCAGACGGTATGTTAGTATGTACCTGCAGGAGTATGACGTATGGTATGTTAGTACGGTATGTTAGTATGTACCTGCAGGAGTATGACGTATCTCATAAGATGCTGCATCGGGCAGATAAGCAGGTCCGAGAGTTGACGCTTCTTGCATCTTGAATCCTCCAAGCATAACTGAAGATAAGGTATTTAGTAAATGTAGGTAGAAAGTGTCCCGCTTTGGGTAAATTAATAAGTGAAATTTAGTTTCATTGGTTCAGAACGGTCACATGCCATGAAAAAGTTGGTGATAAGAAACTTGATTCCCTCGAGACAAGCAGTTTTAATAATATGCCCTAAAAAAGAATGTTTCTAGTATCCTGAAATAGAATATCTAAATTGATATTCATCTCACCTTTTCATACTCCCTAAAATCGCTTCTTTCCTTTTTGAGAGTTTTAAGGTATTTAACAGCTCTAGTGTAGTTTAAGCAGTACCGCTGGTAAGGGTGATGAAACTTCTTGGAGAACTGAAAACATCCTGTTTAAAACAGACTCCAGCACGATTATAAGAGATAATTAATGTGCTGAATTATCTAAAGTATTATTCGTCATGTTTCCTTTCTAAATACTTCCTTGCTTCCACCTAGAATATTGATTACTTGACCGTATGAGTAAAGTAGTTTATTTATAACGAGATCGCAATATTTTGATTTGATAATTAACCAAATATGGTATATATGCGGTATCAAATTTAAGTTACTTTGACTATGAGAATTAAAGTGGTTTGACTAACACTTCATTGTAAACGTTCGACAAGCAACGATTGGCAGGTCACCAAACTCTTGAAAAAAGATCAAATGGTACCTACATTTTAAATTATTTCACTGTTTTCGCAGATTAAAACAATGGAATTTGGGTGAAGTGTATATACTATATCATATATATATATTATATTATGAAGATGAATTAAACCACTAAAAAGAGGAGCTATGGCGACTATAAGATAATTTTACCTCTTGCAATGCCTCAACTACAGCCTCATCACTAGCGTTTCCTTCTTTGAACATTTTGTAGAGGTCCAGAGAGAAAGCATTGCTAACCTGAAAATAAGGTTCACATTGTACACCCTGTTTATTGATTATTCCTAATATTCTAATATTTATTGAAATTTCCTTGTTTGAAATCGGGAATTTTACGAGAAACTGTACATAAACATTCCTAGTACGCGTACGTGTAATATAACTATAAAAACAAGTTCAGTAAGTTGATAATAATAATGAACCTTGTATAACTTGTTGACATTGGGAAATAGCAGACTCTCGTCTATGTCGCATAACATTCCGTTATCTTTTGCTATCTTCAGTGTTCCTTGAAACACCTGTAAATTATTTTTTCAATATAAAAAGAACTATTAACAATTAATAATTGAATCATTTTGCCACAAAAAATATATAAAAAACAAAACAAGGTAAAAAGCAGATCAGTACCACTGGCATAACACCACTGTAACAAATTTTAGTTGTTACACTTGTGTAACAACTGTTACACTTGTGTAACACCACTGTAACAACTGTTACACTTGTGTAACACTACTGTAACAACTGTTACACTTGTGTAACACCACTGTAACAACTGTTACACTTGTGTAACACTACTGTAACAACTGTTACACTGGCATAACACCACTGTAACAACTGTTACACTTGTGTAACACCACTGTAACAACTGTTACACTTGTGTAACACTACTGTAACAACTGTTACACTTGTGTAACACTACTGTAACAACTGTTACACTTGTGTAACACTACTGTAACAACTGTTACACTGGCATAACACCACTGTAACAACTGTTACACTTGTGTAACACCACTGTTACAACTGTTACACTGGCATAACACTACAGTAACTCACATCTCTGACAATCTTGAGTTGATCTATCAAGTACACCAGCTCAGCTCGGAAGAGGCCCCAGAGTGCGTCTCTGTGCTTGTACTCAACACTGTCTATGTGAGGTCTGTCCTCCATCAACTCGGACCAATGAGACATCTGGGAGACAATACTGGGTTAGAGACAGGAGACAACTTGACAATACTGGGTTAGAGACAGGAAACAACTTTACAATACTGGGTTAGAGACAGGAGACAACTTGACAATACTGGGTTAGAGACAGGAGACAACTTGAGAGACAATACTGGGTTAGAGACAGGAGACAACTTGAGAGAAATTACTGGGTTAGAGACAGGAGACAACTTGAAAATACTGGGTTAGAGACAGGAGACAACTTGAGAGACAATACTGGGTTAGAGACATGAGACAATTTGACAATACTGGGTTAGAGACAGGAGACAACTTGACAATACTGGGTTAGAGACAGGAGACAACTTGAGAGATGTTAGACAATACTGGGTTAGAGACAGGAGACAACTTGAGAGATGTTAGACAATACTTGTATAGAGACAGGAGACAACTTGAGAGATGTTAGACAATACTGGGTTAGAGACAGGAGACAACTTGACAATACTTGGTTAGAGACATGAGACAACTTGACAATACTGGGTTAGAGACAGGAGACAACTAGACAATACTGGGTTAGAGACAGGAGACAACTTGACAATACTGGGTTAGAGACAGGAGACATCTTGAGAGATGTTAGACAATACTGGGTTAGAGACATGAGACAACTTGAGAGACAATACTGGGTTAGAGACATGAGACAACTTGACAATACTGGGTTAGAGACAGGAGACAACTTGACAATACTGGGTTAGAGACAGGAGACAACTTGAGAGATGTTAGACAATACTGGGTTAGAGACAGGAGACAACTTGAGAGATGTTAGACAATACTTGTATAGAGACAGGAGACAACTTGAGAGATGTTAGACAATACTGGGTTAGAGACAGGAGACAACTTGACAATACTTGGTTAGAGACACGAGACAACTTGACAATACTGGGTTAGAGACAGGAGACAACTAGACAATACTGGGTTAGAGACAGGAGACAACTTGACAATACTGGGTTAGAGACAGGAGACATCTTGAGAGATGTTAGACAATACTGGGTTAGAGACAGGAGACAACTTGAGAGATGTTAGACAATACTGGGTTAGAGACATGAGACAACTTGAGAGACAATACTGGGTTAGAGACATGAGACAACTTGACAATACTGGGTTAGAGACAGGAGACAACTTGACAATACTGGGTTAGAGACAGGAGACATCTTGAGAGATGTTAGACAATACTGGGTTAGAGACAGGAGACAACTTGACAATACTGGGTTAGAGACAGGAAACAACTTGACAATACTGGGTTAGAGACAGGAGACAACTTGACAATACTGGGTTAGAGACAGGAGACAACTTGACAATACTGGGTTAGAGACAGGAGACAACTTGAGAGAAATTACTGGGTTAGAGACAGGAGACAACTTGACAATACTGGGTTAGAGACAGGAGACAACTTGAGAGACAATACTGGGTTAGAGACAGGAGACAACTTGAGAGAAATCACTGGGTTAGAGACAGGAGACAACTTGAAAATACTGGGTTAGAGACAGGAGACAACTTGAGAGACAATACTGGGTTAGAGACATGAGACAACTTGATAATACTGGGTTAGAGACAGGCGACAACTTGACAATACTTGGTTAGAGACAGGAGACAACGTGAGAGATGTTAGACAATACTGGGTTAGAGACAGGAGACAACTTGAGAGATGTTAGACAATACTGGGTTAGAGACATGAGACAACTTGAGAGACAATACTGGGTTAGAGACATGAGACAACTTGACAATACTGGGTTAGAGACAGGAGACAACTTGACAGATGTTAGAACAATACTGGGTTTAGAGACAGGAGACAACTTGTGAGATGTTAGACAATACTTGTATAGAGACAGGAGACAACTTGAGAGATGTTAGACAATACTGGGTTAGAGACAGGAGACAACTTGACAATACTTGTTAGAGACATGAGACAAACTTGACAATACTGGGTTAGAGACAGGAGACAACTAGACAATACTGGGTTAGAGACAGGAGACAACTTGACAATACTGGGTTAGAGACAGAGACATCTTGAGAGATGTTAGACAATACTGGGTTAGAGACAGGAGACAACTTGAGAGATATTAGACAATACTGGGTTAGAGAAAGAAGACAACTTGAGAGATGTTAGACAATACTGGGTTAGAGACAGGAGACAACTTGAGAGACAATACTGGGTTAGAGACAGGAGACAACTTGACAATACTAGGTTAGAGACAGGAGACAACTTGACAATACTGGGTTAGAGACAGGAGTCAACTTGAGAGACAATACTGGGTTAAAGACAGGAGACAACTTGAGAGACACTACCAGGGTACCACCACCCGTGATCCGGCTTTGACGAAAATCTTTATTACGAAAAAAAACCATAATTTTTCATTATACTATACTTGGGCATTGCTTGTCCCCTCATGCATTGTACTTGTATGAAAAGATAAATTATACGAAAAAATTTTTTTTTTGAATATTTCAAAGGCATCTAACAAGGGCAGCAAGAAAATTTTTTTGAAGAACAGGGTTGTTTTAAAGAAATTAAGCCTGGAAAGTATTTCCCCTTAACCATTAGATCCGGTGGGGTTTGGTTTTTTTTGAAAAAAAAGATTTCTTTTTTTTTAAAAAAACCCGATTTTTTAAAATTTTTTATTTTTAATTAAATTTTCCCCCCTTGCCCCCTAAAAAGGGGGGGAAGAAAGGGGTTTCCCAGTTTTACCATGACAAACCCCCCTTTTTTGGGGTTTAAAAACATTTCTTTTAAAAATTTTTTTTTTTAAATTTTTTTAATTTTTACCAATTTTTTCCCCACCCGGGGTTCATGGGGTTTTTCCCTAAAAAAATTTCCCCTTTAAAAAACAAATTAGGGGTGGGGTTTTTTTCCAATTTTTCCCAAAAAAAAAAAACCCTTTTTTAAATTTAAAACATGTTTTAAAAAATGGGGCGGGGGGCGTGAAAAACCCCCTCCCGCCCAAAGGGAAAAACCCGGGATTTTTTTTAAAAAAAAATTTGGGGGCCCCTTAAACAAATTTTTCCCTCCTAGTTATAAGTTTTTAAAAGCGGGGAAATTTTAAAAACACATTTTTCCGCTTAAAAAAAAAGGGGGCCTGGGAAAAATTTTCCTTTGGGGACAAAAAATTTTTAAAAACCTTTTGGGTTTTAACCCCCCCCCCCCAAAAACCCCCCCTGGGGGGTTTGGCCTAAGGGTTAAAAATTTTTTTTTGGGGGGGTTAAAAAAATTTAAATTTATTTTTTTTCAAACGGAATTAAAAAATTTTTAATTTTTTTTGGGGGGGGAAACCCCAAAAAATAAAAAACTATTTTTTGGGGGCCCCCCCTTTTGCGGGTTTGGCCCCTTTTATTCCTTTAATCATTTTTTTTTTCAAAAAAAACCCTTTTTTTAAAAAAAAAAAAAAAACAAAAGGGGGGGGGCTTACTTTAAAGGGGGGGTCTTTTTTTAAAAAAATTTTGGGGGGGGCCCCCCCTTTGGGGAAAAAAAAAAATTTTTAAAAATTTTTATTTAATTTTTAAAAACCCCCATGAATTAAAATTTCAAAAAAATTGGTTTTTTTTTTTTTCCCCCTTTTTCTCAAAATGGAAAAAAAAAATTTTAGGCCCCGTTTTTTAAAAAAAAGGGGGGTCAAAAAACCAAATTTGTTGGAAAAAACCCAAGGGTACTTGGGGGGGGAAAAAGGGGAAAAAAAGGGGGGCCTTTTATGGAGGGGGGGAAATAAAAAAGGGGTTTTAGGGGTTTTTTTTTTTTATAAGGAAAAGGATTTTTTGGGGGTTTAAAAAAAAATTTTTTATTTTTTTTTAAACCCCGGGAGTTTTTTCAACACAATCCGGACCATGACTAGTAGCTCCCTGCACTAGTTATAGCTCCCTGCAGCACGCGGCTATATTAAACTCACATTCTTCCGCTTGGAGAAGAATGGCATCTTGAATTTGTCCTTAGGATCTGCAATGATAACTGCTGTGTGTACTGCACCCCTCCGGGACTGCAAACTTGACAATACACCTGTAGGGATGTGATCATTACTAGATATGTTATAGCTTTGTAGGGATATAATCATTACTCATATCATCATTACTGATATGATCATTAAAACATAATATCTATTATCAGACACACAAATAGACTATTCTTTGTCGACCATTAGTCTGCAGTGTGGTCCCTATATTCCTATATCTACTATTTTGTCAGAAGCCTAACCTTTTAAGAGAAAAAAAAAACTAGACAGACATTAGACATACAGGTATGTCTATTGTCTAAATGGAAATGTCTATGACATATTCAGCAATGATGGATAATTCAATTTTATTTAATAAAACTCCCATGTTTTAA